ATAATATATTCACTCACATTAAAATGAAAGTATGTATTACTTATCGCAGAAGTATGCTATGCTCTAATGTTCTCTTCATTATTATTTATATTATATATATTTGAATCGTAATTGAAAGTTGGACTTATTGAGAGAGTCAAATCTGTCTCATAGGTTTAGTTACATATTATTCTCTATACTTTGAAATTTCAAAAGTATGATTCTATTTTATAAAACTCTTCATGTTTCAAAATCTTCATTCTCTCAAGGAATGCACTCATGGCGCTTTACTCACAGGCATTGCACGCGCTGTAGAGCTATTACCTTGGCTGCGCGCTTTCTCACTCAGTCAAAAGCTAGGTGGGCCTGTGGTACCAGCAGTCTATCCTTTGCCCTGGAAAAAGCTCGCCCATTACCTAGTCGGCAATCCTTTGACCTCACACAGACTCTCTACCTCATTTAGAACCGCAACAGCCGAAACTTCATTAGCAAACCTTGATGAGGATCTTAAATCTTCATTTATTGTCGGCCATATTAGTTCTACCAATCACTTTGGATCCTCAGGATCGCCCATCCGTGGTGGAGATTCAGTAACGTTTGCTAGCAGTGTCGATGATTATGATAAAGATTCTGATTTCAACCCAAGTAATGCGGATAGTAGTGCTAATTTGGATGATATGGAGGAAAATGACTCTGAGACAGATGCCTCCATGCTTAGTGATCATTCTGAATTCGAGGAGACAGCCTTAAGATGCCGGCGTTCAAGCACAACTTCTGGATTTCTTGGAACTCGCGGCTCTCGTGGTCGAGGTCACAAAAGTGCCAGGTTTAGAGCTGATTTGGGAGATGAACGAATTGTTCGCAGATCAACCAGGACACGCCGTCGAACCTCTAGGTTGGCAGATGATACGACGAAATTGGTTAGTATATACAAGTCTTCTTGCTTCGCCTTTCGTCTCACTCACTTTTTTATAATTAAACTTCTAACTCTTCTTACATTTTTATTCTTCGTTTTTATTGGCCATTTATGTTTATATTTTGATTGAAGGATTGAACTCATATTTTGCTCTGACGCGTTTTGTTAGAATAAAATAATATCGTCATTTTAAATTATCTAGTTCATCGAGAAACCAATAACTCAACTTGAACTATCAATTAATGTGATTAAGGCCTATTTAACATCATCTTAACTAATTTCACATATTCCTCTTTTCGCCTGGCATGATGATACATTAGCTAGTATTATCAGCGGCTGAAATAATTTTAGTTATGCCATTCATTGCTACTCATGGAATCGCAAAAGTAATTGTGCAAAGTTTTATTATTTTTTTTTTGAATTAATTGAAACCTCTGTCTATTGGGTAAATCCATCTACTTGAATTCTTTGTAGGGCTAAACTTTTAGGGAAAACTTTGACACTTAGAGTTATAATAGCCCTTTATTCAGATTAGAAACCATCTATTTTGATCGGTAGACTATCATCCATTCTTAATCGTCGCCCCTCAAGTCTAAATTCTGGAAAATTAGCTCTACACTTTCTGTCCCAACTCTATTGTATATTTACCTATTTTGTTCAATGTAGATTAAAGCTTGCTTTGCAAAAATAAATCAGTGTTGATTTAGTGTTTGATGATGCTGAATGAGACCTCGGATGATAATAAGACTTTACAATTATTATGTTTATTATCACATACCTATTGCCGAAATGTACGTGCTCAAACAACTCTCTTAGTTGCGAGTCTATATTATTTGACAGCCGTACCTTGTTCTTATAGGTTGTATGAAGCTATAGATAAAAAGGATAATTGGGTTTCAATGAATCTCTTAGTATACAATTATTGGGAAAACTCATATTTCGTATAAAAATGCAAGCCAAAGAGATTTGTTAGTCAACATCACAAGAAGACGACAGCTAATTCCTGTTATTCTGTTACTGTTTGGCTTTTATATGACTTTCAACTTAACGCAGTCCACAATAAATCCTCCATAGTTTCGGACGAAAACAGTATGCACTTTCGTCTGCCATATGAAGGATATCATCAGAGCACTGTATTATCCTTATAACAATATTCTAGCTAACGAGTCAAGAAAGCTCTCCTGCATATTCCTAACTGATGTAAATGTACCTAATATCTATGCTTTTTGATGAGGCATAAAACAATACAGATTTTAGATGTGAAGAACAGGAGGGTTTGATTTTCGGTTTAGTCGTAATCTCTTTATCGGCTGCTAGCAAAAGACCCAATAGTTAAAATCAAAGGGGAACTGTTGAAGGAAATGCATATTAAATGGGAAATCGGCAAATTGACAATGAATTCACTCATACGAGAGGATGAAAGAGCCTTAATAGCATAATGTTTAACGAATTTACATAGAGAAGGAGAACCATTGAGACTGATAATCAACCACAAAAATGGACTGATACATAAATTGGCGAAATTCATCTGCCTCAAATTAAAGAAAGTAATGGCGGATTATCGAACACAGTGAAGCACTTATGTGAATTTTGCCAAAGAACCAAAGACAAGAGTTTGGAAGGAAACGAACTTATAGTGAGCTTTGATATACAGTCCATGTACACTAACATCACAGGAGCAAAAGTACTTACCGCACTACTGGAGGTAATGGAAAAGAAAGTAGCATCCTGGAAACAGAGCGAATCCGATTAGACTAACAATAGACATGACCTATTTCACGTTCAACGCCTGAATCTATGAGCAAATATTTGGTCTGTCTATTGGCTAACCACTCTCATCTCTCTTGGCTAATGTCTTCATGGACAAGTTGATGGGGAATATCACAATGTCACCCCAGCAGCCAACAGTAATTATGCGATATTTGGATTAATTTTTCGCAATTTTTCGCATGGAAATGAAAAATTATACGATTTTCTTGAACTTCATAAACGAAATGGATGAAAAAGTCAAATCTACCATGGATGTGGAATTCATTCGCTCCAACGAAGCTCTTAAAGAACAAACTTTTCCGAAAGAAATCGAATGCTGGAATAAATCTTAACTTCTAGTCAAACATAATTATGGGATGAAGATTGGAACACTGCGACATTCGGTCATAAGAAGCTTACGACTCACTTAGTCGTTCTGGGAAGAGGAACTGGGAAAAGTAACTCAGATGTTTTTTGGACACGGATATCCAGGAATTATCAAGCTGGATGGGAAAATAACTTGAGGTTAAAGAGCCCCAGTAATTCTCATGATCACGCATTTGCTTCAAGGACCACGTCAATGATCAAACACGCCTGCAGTTAGCCAACTAGCTCTAGTCTTCGCCGTATCTGTCATGCTTCTATCCATAGTTCCAAGTCTATGGTGAACCAACCAATAAATGTTGTGGTTTCACAGTGAACCTAATCAAAACATGTAGGGCTACAACCTTTGTTGGTTGGCTCACTAGAGACTAGTGCATAGGAAGTCGTCGAATTAGCACCATGGATAGAAGCACGATAGATGAGTCGGAGATTGGAGTTAGTTTGCTAACAGTAGACGTCTTTGATCATATACGTGGTCCATGAAGTAAAAGCTTGACTATGAGAATTATTTGGGCTCTTTAGCCTCAAGGTAGTCTCCCATCCAGCTTGAGAATCCTGATTTTTAGGGGCCTACTCAACGAGACGGGAGTATGAGTGCTTCAAAGGCTTGAGAAAATGTTGAAATGTGGGAAATAACGCTTCGAGTAGTACAGATGGGGTGGCAGGGGTCCAGTCAAATACCTGGACCAGGAAGGTAGCAGGCGTATTCTACCGGGCAAGAGGGAGACTGATAATACCTATAATTAGAGGCTTGCGGGGTGATGGTGTGAGAAAGCCAGTGTGGGTTTTGGAGAGTTATCATGAAATCCGCTAAAAAAGAACATACAACACCATATTTAAAAAAGAAATTGTGATAATGAAAGATTGATACAAGGATATAGGATTGGTGAATAGACCAGAGCACAAGGAGAGATATTACAATTATTTAGCAGACAATTAATCACAGGATTGGCTTCACTAGTCTATTTAACGAGTTGTAGTGTCATGCGAAGACTGGAAAGGCTCACTGACGATGCCGGCGAAACGTCTGGAAATTTACCACGTCCACTGTCCGATTGGAAATTATCATGCATACTGTGGACTCCGGACTAGATGCGTTCCTCTAGGTCTTGCTACCAAAATAACTAAGTTGTAAAAACAAGGTCAAACAACATCCACTCTAATATATTTTAATATTAAGTAAATGATAGAGATAGAGTAGCTCAGTTATTTATCATTTTTTGATGTTTTAGTTATCAGAGTAGGAGATAAGTTTGGCTGGGGTGTTTTTAGGAAGCCAACATATGGTGGCTTTATCCTTAATTTATTCCCTAACCATAGCTAATAAACGAAGGTTGGTATTTTGAAATATATCATTATACGGATCATAAGATTGGCCGACAGGTACCATTATGATAATATGCTAGATCGGTCTACAATAATATTACTTGAAAATAATCATTTTCAATGCTTGATTGAAAATTACAGTATCCTAACAAAAATGTCTTTTTAAATTGGGAATATGTTTGAAAAGATATAAAACTCAAGACTTTTGCCAATCTCTTGTTTTCCTCTTGTATGTTCTCTTCAAAAAAACTGGGCGAAATAGTAAGGAAGTAAAGAATAAAAGTGATTTTCACGGAAACTATGCTTCAGTTATGCTTAATTTTAGAGAGCAAATTGACCCATTATTCATATCAAGCTGTTATAAATAATGCGTTCATATGGTAGCTTTTATATTGGTTAGACTTCTTTTCTTATTCGACGAAGGGTGGCTGAATACAATAACATCTGTAGAGACTTTTGGATTAAAAATCAGAGCTAGTGGAGCACAAGGTGAAAACTGAACATGAGATTAAATGGTCTCAGACTTGTTTTACTGATTATGTTATTCCTTTAATTAAACGCAAAATTATAGAATCAATTGGAATCAACTTATTAGGCAACTCAATGACTGTGAGGAATACCGGTTAGAAGTTAAGTAAGCAATATTTG